TGACATCCTTCTTCCTGAAGAACACTAAGCTTTCTGCCTCCTGGGACAGTCATACCACTGATGAATGTGAGCGGTTCTCTTGACAGCTAGGAGTTTGCTCACTTTTCTCTTTTGTTGCCATCAGCATCTCATCTGTTCTCTTTGTCTACCATCTGCTGGACTCTCCTGAAGCCAAGTGTCTCCTTCCCGGGCCAGTCCCCCAGGTGTCCCTGCTCACCAGCTAAATCCGCTTGCCCACTTATTAGTGGGGTCAAACCGACCTGTTCCTTACACAAGGCAAAAGACATTCAGAGGTGGTTTGCCATTGGCTGCCTCTGCATTGTTACTCTGGACTTCCTTGGTGGTCTCCCATCCAAATGCTAACCCAGGCTGACACTGTGTGGCTTCCAAGATCTGACAAGATTTCCAAGAAGATGCAGTCCATAAAATACGAACGTTCCTTTTACACAACTATTCCATGAAATTGGGATCATATATACCCTGTCAGGGCCACATATTTTATACCTTCATTAAATAAAATGTCATAGTTCAGTCTGGAAAAAAACTGGATTAAAGGAAGATCCCCAAAAGACTCAGTCTCTACAGCAGTGCAGTTTTTTACAGTTTCAGACTGACCTATGAACGTTTTCCATGGAGCAGCTGTTCCTATTTACCTTATCCCATAGAATTTACTGGGTGGCATTGGGAACCAAATCTTCATTCTCCTTTCCCATTCCCAAGTCCTGTTTGTTTGTGAATTGGTGCACAGCACCATTTTCTATTACTGTTCTACAAGAACTAGTGGCGAAGGACACAACATGATTTCCAGAAATGAACTAGTGGCGAAGGACACAACATGATTTCCAGAAATGAAATCTCTCCTTTGGGTGATTCCTATGACTGGATGCTTATGGGTAATGTTTACAATTTGCTGCCTCATCCCTAACTAGCCTAAGAACAGCAACTGGTTATCTCTGCTGCTGTTCATAGAAATGTCAAGGGAACGATTTGCAAGTTTCAACTATTCACACAAGTCAGACAAACAGTTAAATTTCAAAGGCCTTCCTAAATAAACATGTCTTTAAATTGTGATCGAAGACCAGAAGAGATGGTGCTGCAGAAGAGATGGTGCTGCTAAAGGTTATCTTCAAAAGGAGGAAGTTCCACAGCCTGGGAACAGCCACTGAGTCTCTCTTGAGCCCTTGCTAATGCAGCCATGACCTGCAGGGCTTCTCAACAGGGCTCACTGGCTGAGCTCAAATCTTGAGCAGGTTCATATAGGTGGAGATGATCCTTCAAGTTATTTAGGGCCTTAATTAAGTGCTGACATCAGTGTAGCTGGATTGTATTCAGCTCTCAAAATATGCATCAATAAATGTACTAGTGAAACACATTTCTGCATGTGGACTGTAGCCACTATGAAAACGTCTTCTGTTCTTTGATGAGACAGCATCAGGGGTATTCAGCTTCTGCACCTTCCCCTCATTATAGTCTTCATTCTTATACTCTGCTACTGTAATTATAACTTAATTAGGTTTTGACCTCAAATATCTTGCTGGCATACTCAAGAACCCCATTATGAATACCCAGTGTCTCCTCTTTTCTTACCAGCTGATGACCAGACAGGGTTCTCATTGTCACAGTGCTACTAATTGTAGCCTTTCTCCCTTATTATTAGTGATAAACTGTCATCTTTTCAATTTTTTTCCTGCTTAAATACTGGCCATCCTATGCTTAAGGATATTTTGCATTATAAATACTTTCTCTTTGTTTTTGCTGGCAGTGGGTGTTCAGCCATATGTTTTGCATATAGTGCCTGCCAAGTGCCTAGATTTGAAGGCTGGCTGAACTGCATAACGTTGGTTTTGAAGCTGATTTTTCAGAAAAGCAAGTGAATGATTACACTGGCTGTTACAGCCATCTGTGTGTGTATATGTGTGTGTGTGTGTGTGTGTACCAAGCGCCCATATTGACAGAACTGCAACCTAATATGAAGCAATGATATGACATTAAAAATACTTCCCAACCCCAGATTTTAACGGTTTATCTGAACATAACAGTCTATTAAGGCCATCCTACTCAGCTCTTTGTTGGGCTGCTACATGCTGGTGCTTATTTCAACAGGAATCTTGACTGATACGTTATTTCAGAAACCTTCTTCTTTCCTCATTCTGTTATTAACATGGTTGTCTGGGAAAAGAGGAGGGACATACTCAACTAAAACCTGTTATCTGAAATTATCCTTAATTTTTCCTTCAGGGTATATTTCCCATCTCAGTTAAAAGCTGTCTAAAATAGCATTTCTTTTAATCAGCTCTTGTATTTATTTGAACGTTTTGAATTTTCCAGTTGGAATATTCCTAGAAACTACACTTTAGTAGAGTTCTGTCCCAGTGCTCTACCTCTTCCTCTTTTTCTGATGAATCTCTTAGCCATTTCATAAATTATGGGTATCTCTTTTTCATCCATGGAACAGGTATTAGGAAACTGCATTAGGAAGACAAAGTATGTGTAAGTTTTTCAGTGTGTGCATTTTCCAACATGTTAAACATACAATGTGCATGAAGTCAATTTGTAAATGTATTAGGTAACTTGTCAGTGTTTGGGGGCCTTTGATAAAGCTAGTTTGTTTCTTTAAACCATCTGACCTTCCCATGGAGGTAAACACAGAAGTAAACTCAAACGTGAGTACTGCACTTTTTGGCATGAACACATTTGCCAGCTAAATTTACCTGGACTGAACACATTGCTTGCCCTTGAGACCAACCCCATTAACACAGCACCTCGATGTTTCTGTTTGATGAGCAGCTCAAACATTTTCACAAGCAGCTCTGTAACTGTGCGACTGTGCTTGTGCTACAACATCATGGCTCTTTACTCCTCCTTATGTAAGTTTCATTTACTGTGTGCTGCAGTTTATGGAGAAGGGCCGTGGCTCAGTGGTGGAATATCCACTTGGCACACAGAAAGTCCCAGGTTCAGTCCTGGGCATCTCCAGTTAAAAGGATCAAGTAGAAGGTCTAAGTAGATGAGACTGATCTTGATGGACCAGAGATCTGATTCAATATAAGGCATGGGAAATTGGCCGATTAGCACTTAATTGTATTTAGTCCAGATTATAGTGATTTACATGCATGGACAGGATTCTGTGGTTTCCCTATTGCTGGTGTAGCTGCAGATAAAGTGCAACAGCAATGTGGTATCCACATGGCAGGTTCCCCATAGTTTCCTTGTCCCAGTTCCCTAGAAGTGGCTACCCTTATCACCTGGGTCATCGGGGCTTTTGCATTTTTTTTAAATCATCACTAGAATATAATTATTTCAATATACCACCTGAATTTTAGTACATTCCACCTCTTGGAAGCCGGTGTGAAAAAATATATCAGTGCATAAATTTGAGATGAATGAAGAATTTTTTATAAACAGTTTTTATCCTGAAGAAACTCATTTTAGGTCAAATATATTCATAGCAGTAGAAATACTTATTGTAGCTATATTTTCTCATATTTCACGGAAGAGTTGAAATAATTGTTACCTCCAATGTACTATGGGCATTAAATATGCTATTAAAATTGGAAATGCTACTAATTTCATGCTGTTTACCATAGGCTTAATATATCTGTAGCTTTTCTTCATCTGGATTTTACATACAATCTTACTGTGTACTGGAATGATATTTCTCAAAAGTCAATAACACCCTTGCTTACATAGCTGAGCAGAAGCAAATTTTGTCTGTTAAAAATGGTGCCATTTCAACTCAAATTAAATAAGAATATAAATTCAATTTTTGTGACTAGGGTTGCCAGGTTGCCTCATTGCTCTGTTGGGGGGATTGGGGGGCATTCCAGGAGTGGGGGAACTCCCCCAAAGCCCCGCCCTCAAGAGCTATCACCCGAGCCACCCCTCTCCCTCCTCTCCTGGGAGATTTAAAGGGCTTCAGCTGATCGGCAGGGAGCACATGGCCCGCCGATCAGCTGGAGGGCCCTTTAAATCTTTCAGGAGGGAGGGAGAGGGGCTGTTGCTGGCCACACGCTCCTCTCGTGAAAAGACCCTTTAATACACACGGGGCTGATTTCCAAGTGGTGATTCATTGCTTGGGATTCAGGTGCATGCTCCTGCTCTACTCACTACGGACCTGGGACTGGCAACCCTATTTGTGATGTGAATACCTATATCCAGGGGTCATTTCGTAGAAAAAGAGCTAGGGGAACTCATTAGCATAACTCATTAGCATATGCCACACCCCCTGACATCAGGGGCCTGGCGGTGGACCTGCAAGGCCGGCGGGAGTGCAAGGAAGCCCCGCCAAGGCCCTCCCTGGCCCTAGGCAGGCAGGGGTGGGGAGAGGCGGGGAGGAAGCAACTTACCCTCCCTCTTCTCCTGCCTCCTCCTGGCTGAATGAGGGCTGGAAGCGGGGCGGCCGGAAGCAGGGGGCAGGGCTTCGTCGTGTGCCCGGCCCCCTGCACCTCACCCGGGGGAACTGCATTCCCCCGCGTTCCCCCCCGAAATGACCTCTGCCTATATCCAGAAGAAGCTGCCATAATCTTCTGTTCAGGGGAAGCATTTCTTTTAGTGAAACTGAACATTCCTTTCTCTGCCCCCATTCCCCCCCCCCTTGTGCAGAGCACTGATCTCTCTGAAGTGCTGCTCTTGAGAGACAGGGGACCCTCAGGATCAGCATCAGAGCCAAATGGGCCGTCTGCACTAGGAAGAGGGAACTGGTGGAAACTACTTCACCACCTTTGTCAGTAGAAAGTTTAGCCTGGATCCAACCCATAGCATTTTTCAATGTGTTGCCCAGTGAGCTGCATGCATGTCTGAATTGTCTCTTATTTCTTTTCAGAATTGTCTCTAATTTATTTTACAGGCAGTGTTAATAACATTTGTCTAAATGTGAGGGTACCTATTTTATTACCGTTCATTGGGCTTTTGCTAATGTCCAAAAAGTAAGAAGTCAAGAGTGACTCAGCATTAAAACTGATTATGAAAATATGCACACTGGTATATTTTTCTTTTTTTAGCATTGTTTTAAAGGTCACTGTATCTGGTTAACTCCAGATATCTTGAAACAAGATGGAAACTGGGGAGCGTGGAGTAAATTTGGTGCCTGTTCTCGAACCTGCGGAACGGGAGTAAGATACAGAACACGGCAGTGTGACAATCCTCAGTAAGTTAAATCTAAGCAAACAACTCTAGTTAATGTCTAATAAAGATTTCTGATGAAAATATTGGTAAATTACATAATTTGTGCCCTGATCTGGGACTCTGCTTTGGTATCATATGGTTATTTCATTCTAGAACTTCGGTTGAGAGGAATAATGCAGACCTGCTCAATGTTGTTTGGAATGTCCTCCTTCTTTAGGTTCGCCTGCTGCCTACCTTACTGTCTTTTCTTGCTTTGTCTGTTCAACTTTTAAAAAACAGGCCAAAAACCAGTTTCCTTTTACTTTAATCCTTATTTAAATCCACAGACTGGGGCCACATTGACAGAAGGAAGGTTTTTCTCCAACCTTGGGGTACCTAAGTTTGCAGGAAAATCTGAAATCTTAAAAAGACTGAGGGGTTTCCAAAACTTGTCTGTGTTTGCACAGTTGCCTCCTCCTCTTCTGCCTGCCACTGAGGGAGCCCTCTGGCTGGGTGAGGAGGGGGAGACTGTACCCCCACCCCCACTGAAAAGGGCCCTAAGGCAGCAGAGCAGGAGGTGGGAAGGAGCCTCACCTGACCCTCCTCCCACTGCTTGCTGCCACTGATGCTAAGGCAGCATGACTGACGGCAGGCAGGTCAGAGCCTCCACTGTCACCAGAATCACCACTAAAGTGGCAGCACTGAAGGCATGTTGGAGCTTTCCCTGCCTCCCAGTGCTACTGAAATCAATTCTAAGGTGGTAACAGTGGAGGACAGCAGGAGCTGCCTCTGCTCCCCTTCACCATCCCACCCTCTACCAAGGCAGCAGTGCTGGATGATGATGAGGGGGAGAGAAGGAGAAGGGGCCCTTTCTGTCACCAGACGTGGAGAGGGTGGGGGGGGACAGCTGAATGAAATTCCCCCCTCCCGTAAGTCTCTTTTTGATGGAGGGGAGTGGTGAGCTATCCAGCAAATATTTCATTTAGCCTTATAAGTGTTTTCAAGTATCTGGAGCAGAATTCAGGATTCTCAGGAATACCAGTATTCAGGAATATCCAAGGCTAGCATTTTAAGTATCCTAGGCCTATTTTTTCTCAATTCAAGTGTCTCAGACAAAGGGAGGAGGGAGATACCTCACCTGGCCCAGGAAAGGCAGCCCACAGCTGATGTGAGTCTTGCCTGGCCTGAGGAAGGTGGCTCCTGGCCCAGATAAGCCAGGACCAGGGCCTAGCAAAGCTGCTGGTCTGCCTAGCTCCTTCTCCCTGCCTCCTTCTCTCACTCCTGTGTGGGGACAGTACCCTTACTCCAGAGGTGTTGGTCTTTAGTGAACAGGCAACACTAGGTCCCCTGCAATTTTGTTGTCATTTGATTGAAAAACAATCACTTCAGCCCACTCCCAAAGTCCTGTAGGGAATAGTGGAACCAAAATAATTCAAGAATCCCAGAGGAGGAGGAGAAGGAGTGGGAGGAGGAGACTGGATTTATATCCTGCCCTTCACTCAGAGTGTCAGAGCGGCTTACAAACTCCTTTCCCTTCCCCTCCCCATAGCAGACACCCTGTGAGGTAGGTGGGGCTGAGAGAGCGCTTTCCAGAACTGTCCTTGAGAGAACAGCTCTGACAGAACTATGGCTTGCCCAAGGTCATCCAGTGGAGGAGTGGGGAATAAAACCTGGTTCTCCCAGATTAGAGTCCACACACTTAGCCACTACACAAAAAGCATGAACCCAAAACCCAAAATGGTATCAATGAAGCCAAATATAATCATAAATACACTGTTTACAGTGTTTCAAAAGTCTACATCTGGAAAATACTGGTGTTTTTTTCAGGTGCACATCCTTAGGGCTCACTGCTGAACTAAATCAAAAATACAAAGTGCATACAACTGCTAATATTAAACATTTGTAGAATTACAACCATAAGTGAAGTCTCTTGTATTCCCAGCATGATCTCAGTTCATTTTACTGAAGGGAATTCATCCTTATGTGCAGTATGATGCACTCAGTCAATCTCTCAGGCGCTCAGATCATAAAGTCCAAATACAAGTTGAACAGACAACTTAAAAAGTAGCAACAAAATCACCTTACAAGCATCATGTTTGTGAAATAAATGTTAAAACAGGGATGACCATCTTTAATATTGACAGTGGTCACTGTATTCTCCACTCAGAGATCCAAGGCTGAAAGTATTTTAGTTTGGATAGGCTATTTAAAGTTTTGATATGGGGAAAAGCTAAGATATAAATATTTTAAACAATTATTTTTGTTGTGTAGACGCTCTTTCATGAATGACCTACCCTAAGAAAGTCGCTACCAAAATGTCATCACCACCTAGTTGTAACTAAGGTATTTTCCAGACTGCAGCCACCTTTTGGGTTTTTGTGGGTGTCATGGTGGTTCCAATGATCGCGCTTCTGGTGCGATCAGTTCACACTTACATGGGGGTTTTCCCATTTTTTCCCTGTCATGGTTCTGTCTGTTCACATTCACATTGAGGATTGATTTTCTGCTCTGTTTTCCAGATGTGTGTGTATGCACTGAAGCGTTGCAGCGTTTCAGCAGCCTTAAGGGGTCTGTGCAATCCCCATTAAAGTACATTCCTTGCCCATCACACTACAACTGTGAGCCGTTCCTGTTGTACATGTCTCACCCCTTATTGGTTGCCTCTTTTCCTGCATTTGAACAGTCTCTCTGATTGGCTCCCCCTCCCCAAAAAATTGTGAATTCCTTTACCTGACTTGCATCAAGTACACAGCTCCAGTGGCCTATCTATTTGACCTGGGCTTACTCTCAATGAACTCAGTGGGGCTTACACTTGAGTAAGTGTGTGTGAAGAGGGGCGCTTCCAGCATGAGCCTGCCTCAATCTCCAGTGCCTGTGCCCTTTCTTGAGGGACAGGCTCCATGAAAGCACCATCCTCACTTAGCTCTGCCGAACCACTAGCTTCATGTGGAGTGGTGGCTGATCGTCCAAGAGACGCTCTGTGTTTATGCACACAAACACTAACCCCTCTGGATGGGTCTTTGGCCGAACAATATTCTTTCATGCTTCCATGAGAACCAAGGGCTCTGGGCTTTTGACACAAGATAGTCCCACTGAGCACCTTGAAATTTGCTGTGGCCAATGCATGCATAAGATCAGGCTGCAGAGAAAATAAATGGGTAATGATTGGCTGCTGGTGTCAGGCCTCTCAATGGGACTGACTGTTTCAGCACAGGTGCCCTCCAGCACTGAAACATTCTAGTGCTGGCATGCAAATATTTTTTAAAAGTTCACCGCCCAAAACGCGAGGGGGAAAAATGTTCAGATTCTGGGCAAGAGGCTATCTTGCAAATGCGTTCCTTGATAGGGAGGAAAAGTACAGGAAAAACTAATTTAGGAAGGAATTGGGGGGGGGGGGAGACAGGAAAGACCAGAACAGCATGGGGATGTTGATGAAGTTGTCTGGACATAGGGCTGCCAAATTGGGCCGGGGGGCGGGGAAACCCCCGCTTTGGAGGCCCGATTTCTGCCGCGGCAGAATCGGGCCCCCAGGGAAACCCCACCCCCCACGTGCACGTCACAGGGAAGTGACGTCATAACGCCGGGCATGCTGGGGGCGGGGCCACAGCCATTTGAGGGGAAAACTCTATATTTTCCCCTCAAATGGCAGCCGGGAGCCAGGCTGGAGTCCCCCGCCACAAGGGTAAGTGCCATTTGGCAACCCTATCTGGACACAAGAAAAAGCCTAGTAACATTGGGGAATGAAAATGGAACATTAAGGTAATCTGGAAAATGCCTTAGTGGTTTCTTGGGTTGATTCCACAGTAAACTGCCCTTTCTTTGAACTTTTGAAAACAATTTTCTGTTTTTTGTGAAGGATTAAAAGTTGGTAAGGGTTTGGCAACCATAATACAATTGCTTCTTGGACTGCAATTCATCTTTTTTAACAAGAAGCCTGTACATGTGAACACTAAGTGAAATGGCAACATTTTCACTTATAAGATCTGATTGCAGAGTGTCACAGTAGTGTGGGACATCTTGTGAAATCTAGCAGTAAAGACTGCAATCCTGTGGCACTTTGTCTTCCTATAGATACAGACTTTCTAGAGACATGTGACTCTGCTGTGAGTCTAAAGAAACAGGTGATGCTGACGTGAGACAGCCTTTGTCACAGATAGCCAAAAACTAAAGAAAAGGAAAAAGGAATCATTACAGTGGACTGTTCTGATTCTCTATCTTTCTATTTTTACAACCAAAGAAATAATTGAAAGGTAAGTGAAGGATCTGACACAATGGTAGCTGATGTAAGTGATGTAACCTTCTAATGTTGCTTTTCTTTTTCTCCCTTTAAATTCCTAGCCCAGCTAATGGAGGTCGTACATGTTTTGGTCCAAGCTATGAGTTCCAGCTTTGCAGCACACAAGACTGTCCTAAAGATTATGAAGATTTCAGAGAGGAGCAGTGCAAACAGTGGGATCCTTTCTTTGAGTATCAGAACATGAAGCACCATTGGCTTCCATATGAGCATAATGATGGTTAGTACTTTTTTGTTTTTGTCTGAGTATGCCTCTAGCAGACTTAGTGCCAGTCTGTCAAATCTAGAAGACTGGAATTTCCTGTCTGGAAAAAGTAGTAGTAGCATTAGCCATTACAATAGCACTCAGGTTATCTTGCCATATGCCTCAAGCATCCTCTGGAGAGGGAACACACTTTCAGGAAGGTGAGCATGCCATTGTTAGGCTCATTCATTATTTAGCACCTCCACTGAGCATGTCAGTGCAGCCCTGCAATGGCATCATTACATAAGCTTTGCTTTGTTCAGAATTCAATTAATTCTGTTGATACATTAATGAGGTAGAATATAAGCATCCCTCTCTACTGATCATGGATGCAGCTCACATCTGGGAAACCTGGTGGAAATCCTCATGCACATAGATCTAAATTCTTCCCTTGGTGAATTGATGGGAATCTTTGAAAATCTGAACTTTTTTGTTTTTGTTTCAATAAATAACAAGAGCATAATGGTCCCATCATAAGCATGCTCACTGAAATGCCAGCCATGTACTAGACAAATAATAAACCATGTGTTGAACAGATAAATCACAGGAGTCTTTCTTCTTTTAGCTAAAGAAAGGTGCCACCTTTACTGTGAGTCTAAAGAAACAGGTGATGTTGTGTATATGAAAAGACCGGCACATGATGGAACACGATGCTCCTATAAGGATTCTCATAGTATCTGTGTTCGAGGAGAATGTCTGGTAGGTGCTATCAATTTCAAAGCTTATTCCAGTTTTCTGTTGGCAAGAATTAGTGCATAACTTTAAAATTATATGGGAATTTTACTAAGAATTGATCACTGCCATAATTTGCCATCATTTTACAAGACTAAATGGGTTCTTACTGAAATGGAAGTAGGCTTGGACTTCAGCCACTCCTTGTGTGCTAGTTTCAGAAACTGGATATATGGTGTCATTAAAAGAGAATACTTGAGCAAGTGGCTACATTTATTTCTGTGCAAGAAAACATTGTTGTTGCAATCTACAGGTTCATACGTGCCTAAGATTTTTAGCACGTTCCCAGTCCAGTTACTAGACCCCAAAACTACTACTCAAAGTCCACTTTTTAAAATGTAACCAAGGAAAAGGGCAGAGGTCATTTCGGGGGGGAACGCGGGGGATCGCAGTTCCCCCGGGTGAGGTACGGGGGGTGGGGCATATGACGAAGCCCCGCCCCCTGCTTCTGGCCGCCCTGCTTCCGGCCCTCATTCAGCCAGGAGGAGGCAGGAGAAGAGGGAAGGTAAGTTGCTTCCTCCCTGCCTCTCCCCACCCCTGCCTGCCTGGGGCCAGGGAGGGCCTTCGTGGGGCTTCCTTGCACTCCCGCCGGCCTTGCAGGTCCACCGCCGGGCCCCTCAGGGGGCTCGGCAGTGGAGCTGCAAGGCCGGCGGCAGCGGCCGGGACCGTTGGGGGCGGGGTGTGTGGCCTTATGACACACTTCCGTTGATGTCAGGGGGTGTGGCCTTATGACACACTTCCGTTGATGTCAGGGGGTGTGGCATATGCTAATGAGTTATGCTAATGAGTTCCCCTAGCTCTTTTCTACGAAACGAGCCCTGGAAAAGGGAAGATGAGGGATGAGGGGGTGTTGTGCATGAGTTCCTGTATGACTCTAGCAACACCAGAAGCTCCAGGGCATGCAGGAGGAGCCTATACTGCAATCACCTCAGAGGGGCAACACTGATGTGTGCTTGTGACAAGTGCCAGCTTTTGCCATATGAACTGGACTTCCTTTGGTGAACAGAGCAGCACAGGAAGAGCACAACTTACAGCACTCTCATGCCCCAGAAGTAACATAGATTGCCATCAGGCCTGGGGGGAAATATCCTGTCCCTTTAATAGAGGCTGAATGTGTACAAATGGGAAGCTGAAGCTTGTCATGACATGAAGGTAAATAACATCAGCGGGTAAATGACATCTCGTTAAGACTTTATTACAAGTACTTTTTTTCTCCAGGCCTGTGGGTGACCCTAGGAGCAACTCCAATAAAAGGCCCTTTGCTCACTAGGTCATTTATTTATGTAAAAAAAAAAGTATAAGCCTGTCCTTCACCCAGCAAGTTTTCTGTGCCCATAAAAGAAATAAATATTTGGGACCTGACTTAACTGCAGTTTCTGAGGAGTTCCTCTGACTAAATGCTATTGAATTCAGCAGTTCGCAGCTTGCAGCTCTGAAGCAACATGTTGCTCACAAGTCTCTGAATGGGCACGGCTGCAAGAATATTGTATGCTAAGTACGGGAAGAAATCAGAGATACCAACAGAAAGCGATCTTGTGACAAAAATATTTGAGACAGCAGAAATGGACATATTTTCGAACCATTTGAAAGACGGAAGTAAGAAAAATATAACGACCCCATTTTATGACTGGGTAGAAAGAAACTTTGAAGATCAAAAATAATGAATAAAAATTGTAGAGAAACTCTAGTTTGAACTGTGGAAAGCTTAATTTTATTTTTTCATGATACATAAGAGAAACTCCTAGCTAATGGAATAATGACAACAATTTTAGTAACTATATAAAAGAAAGGAAATTGTAAATAGAAGTAAAAACTTGTAACAGCTATAATACAAATGTGAAGGATTTCTTTTCCTGTATGTCTTGCCCCATACCCTTTACCCTTCTTACCCTATACTGTTTATGTGAAAATCTAACAAAAATTTTATAATTAAAAAAAAGTCTTTGAATTGGGTTCATCCTGAAGGTGGGTTCAGAGCACATCCTGAGGGTGGATTCACTGGAGATTCACCATTTCTTCAAGTTACATGGGAAAGGAAAGTGTACACTCTTGCCCTCAGTGTTATTTGCTTGCTGGTGTTGCCCATGGATAACAGAGGCTGGTGTGTATTTAATTAAATAGCTGCATAATTTCACATTCAGAATAGTAATATGCTCCTGGAGCATTATGAATTAATATTAGGATTTGGTTAAGTTAGCAGCTATAAGTAGAGTTATTTTAATGCCAATATTTAAATAAAAAACAAGTGTGTACATTAACATGCCCTTTCAGAGAGATACTATTTTATCCTGTGTTTTGATTATCCTGTTTTTAATATCTTGATCTGATGAAAATTCAAGTCAATTTCTGACTCTTCCGGGATGAATAATATATTTTGTTCTTTGTTTACAGAAAGTTGGTTGTGACAAGGTAATAGGTTCCTTGAAGCAAGAAGACAAGTGTGGTGTGTGTGGGGGAGACAACACCCACTGCAAAGTGGTGAAAGGAACCTTCTCCAGGGCACCAAAGAAACAAGGCTAGTATCCCTGTTCGAAAGAAGCACGCAAGAAGGTCACAGAGGGGCTTTTTACTTGCTATATCAGATGATCCATCTGAACATACAAACAAGCTTAACAAATGACTTCTAATGAGAACTGCAAGGGTGCTATTAAAATAGAATAATAAAGTAGAAAAGTCCACTGAGTATGTTCAAGGCCATCTATACGCTAACAGAGGCTTAATGGATCAGATCTTTAGCTTTCTGTTTGTAGCTTAGTCTGGGTCTAGAGCATCTACTTCATTATTTTTCCCCTGACTTGCAGCCTTTCTTGTTTTGATCATCTCAACTTTCATGTTATCCACAGGGCATATACTTACATGTTTTGGCATAAGCATATGAACAAGGGTCTTACATTCCATTCTCGAAATGGTAGCAGTCCTCTCTAGATTGCCCTACTTTTTGACAAATACAGGATGTGAAGGGATGGATTTACAAGCCCTGTACCCTTGGGGCTTGGGAGGTCAGAAAACCCTATAGCCATCCCAAGTCTCAGCTCAGCAATGCCATCCCTTTCCCTTAATCTGTGGGGGGAGGTACCAAACACTGGATAGGTAGTAACTGTATCTGCCAACAAATGAAAGAGTATCTAGAGTCACAGAAGTCATAGAGTCATAGAATCATAGAGTTGGAAGGGACCTCCAGGGTAATCTAGTCCAACCCCATGCACAAGGCAGGAAATTCACAAATACCTCCCTCTCCACACCTGCAATGTCTCTGAGTTCTTCAGTCAGCACCAGATTAGCACTATAGAGAGTAGTTCTGTGTACAATGAGTTACTGGTGGCCTGCTTTGTGAAACTTCATAACATTCTTTCAGTACTTTGCAACAATTTGGAATGAATGTAGAAGCTGACTGAAGAACATATATATTTTATTGCCCCCCCCCAGGCGGAATAATGGACAGACAACAGTTTGGAAGTAAACAAGGGCCACTTTATTAACTATTTAACACAACATTACAGCAAGGGACCAGCTAAGCGAGCACGGAACAGGCAAGGCAGGTGTCACTCCCCGACTAACCTCCTTGCCTTTTCTCGGGCGGGTCACCCAGCTTCGGTCCAGAGCCATCGGTCTGGCTCATGACCAGCAGCCCAACAAACTGGTCACCACCTAGGAGCGCCTACCCCTGAAGCCATCCAACTTGCAGAGAGGAGCATACCCTAAGAGGTTCCCAGAGGAGGTGATCACCGTTCCCCACCCTGGACCTTAGAAATCCGAAGGCAGTTCCTGATGACCCCCTGTTCCCTAATGGGGAAAATTGCATAAGGTGCTCACCGGTTCCGGTTTCTTGCCCGCACCAACCTGCCAAGTGACCAGCCTATTTAGGTGTCAACCCACCACCAACTATTCCATCCACTGCTCCCAGTGCAAGGTAGGCGAAAACACCTCCATCCATTCAGCCAATACTGGGTAAAAGCGAAAAATTCCTACCTGGCCTCAATAGGCAACCAGCTGTAGCCTACACTAAGAACAGGATGGGAGGGTGGGCGAGCATGTTGGAGCAACTCTCCTCTGGTGGGAGTGGAGCCTGGCAGTTTATCTAAGCCAGCTCCACCCCCCGCCCACGTCACGATGCAAGGCGTCATGGCTGTGTTGCTGCCCGCCTTCCTCAGGGAGGCAAAACAGCCCCCGGGGACCAGTGGCGTTGACGGATCGCTGGGAGCTTCATTGCCCCCCCAGGCGGAATAACGGACAGACAACAGTTTGGAAGTAAACAAGTAAACAGTTTGGAAGTAAACAGGAAGACCCCGCAAGGTGTGTGGGGTTGAGAGAACTATGAATTGCCCAAGGTCCTCCAGCATCCACAAGCGATCCACTGCATGGAACTTGGGTGCACGTAAAGCGGCCGCCTAGTCCAAACCCACCTCCAGTCAGACTGACCTGAAAATGGTCGCAAAAACACCACCTAAGACCTGCACCCAAAATGGCTGCCCAATGGAAGTTTAATGGGACCTGGTCCGCAGCTCTAGAAAGATGTGAAGGGTATTTCTCCACACAGGAATATTCTATTATATCAGGAAGACAGGTTATTTTATCCATGGAGCAAGCTGGAAGTTCCAAATTATTGTTTTTAGGCATTAAATAAAATTATATTCATGCCAAAGTTGGCAAGGAATAACATTGTACAATAATGCGAAGACATCATTTTCAGACGAACATATTTGGCCCTTGACTCTAAGATTATAATCCCTTTATTTGTAATAATCCATGTTGCTTCTAACTGTACTCTGCAGGTTACATAAAGATGTTTGAAATTCCAGCAGGTGCAAGGCACTTGCTTATACAAGAATCCGATGCCACCATTCATAATATTGGTGAGTTTTAAACTGGGTGTTGCTGCTGTTGTTGTTGTCCTGTTGACAGGTTGGAATTATTTTGAGGTGTTGTGTTCACATACATTTATTATTTATTTATTCAAGTATTTGTACCTCAATTTCTCCCCAAAGGGTCACAAAATGGCTTACAGCCTTCATAAACTAATACACAAAACTGCAACACAGCTGCAGACTACATCTCAGGATGGTCCTGTACACATATGCTGGTTTGTCTGAAGGCCTGGGCTGGAAGCCATGGATTTAAGAGCCAGAGAGCCCACACCTCTGGCTATGTTCAAGATTTATGGGTAGCTGAACCGAAAAGGGAAAAATTGTCAGCAATGTGGTACAGTGGGTAAAGGTGTTCCTCCCTGCTTTCCCTCCCTGTTCTCCTCAACCATGTATAATCTGGAATTCAATACCCAAAAGTAACCCTGTGACAACTGCTTCATTCAACAACCCAGAGCAGAGGGTTTCGAAAATTACATAGAACGTAGCACTATTCCATAACAAAAATGTAACTTTATTTTGGTACAACCTTTATTCTGGTTGGCTGGCAGTCATTCTGCAGCAGCTCAGACAAGATCTATCCAAGGCTGAGCTGCCAGAGCCTGAAACATTATGCATGCCTAGCACGTTCTGTGAGAGGCTCTCCATAACACTGTCGCTCCTATTCTGGTTCATTTCCATTTCCCCCCACAGAATGACAAGAGCCAGAAACCTACTCTCTTTTACAGCCTGCCTTTCTGTATACTTTGAAATCCCACATGTGCAATGGGTTTACTGTCAAGAAAAGGGACGTCGGGATTACAGAAACCTGACACCTGGATTTCCTGTGTTCTACTACCAGTTCCATAATAAAGCCATAATTTGTACTAACAGCACTAGCAGTGCAGTCCTAAGGGGAGTTACACCCTTCCAAGCCCATTGACTTCAATAGATTTAGAAGGCTGTAAGGTAACAGCGTTCCATGCACCTTGGTGTTTAGTCATGCTGGCCACATGACCACGGAAACGTCTTCAGACAGCGCTGGCTCTTCGGCTTTGAAACGGAGATGAGCACCGCAACCCTAGAGTCGGACTCGACTGGCTTTCGAGCAAGGGAACCTTTACCTTTACCCTAACTCTTTTTAGGATTGCACTATCGAACAGTCTTATGAGTTCCCAGATCACCTTTTGATTGTAATTAGACACTTGGAATGTCATCTGGCAAGATTCATCCAGACTCAGTCTCCTTTCAAAAATCATGCCTTCTTTGGTGTAGTAGATACTGCTCTGCAGCAGGGCAGCCCTGGTGTATGTCCTTTCAGGGTTGTTGCACGATGCTAATTCTCTATTCAGCTGCTCACCAGGCGGTGTTTTGCATACATCTACACAGTCTTGTTCTTGGTCCATTCTCTTTCAGATGCTGAGCCATAAATAGCAAGGACTTTCAATCAATCACAAAGCTTAAACAGTAATTGAAATCCACTCCGTGCAGTCCAGTGAATCAATAGCAGACAGTGTCTTGTAGATTATTATTAATTAGAAGTGGATTCAAACCAAATGGCCCCAATAACTATGCTATGAATCACCCAAGTTTTTGCTACAGTAAATGCTTCCTCAAACTGCTATTCTGTGCAGCCTCATAGGGCTAATAGTGTTTTTGGCATGGGCTCCTTACTTACACTAGGCAAACTGCTTCTGGAGAATCTGGAGAGCCAGTTTGGTGTAGTGGTTAAGTGCACAGATTCTAATCTGGGAGAACCGGGTTTGATTCCCCACTCCTCCACTTGCACCTGGCTGGATGACCTTGGGCAAGCTGTAGTTCTGATAACAGCTTTTCTTGAAAAAGAGCAGTTTCCGTCAAGAGCTCTCTCAGCTCCACCTACCTCACATGGTGTCTGTTGTGGGGAGGGGAAGGGAAGGGAAAGGAGTTTGTAAGCCGCTCTGAGACACCTTTGGGTTGTGAAGGGCAGGGTATAAAGCCAACCTCTTCTCTTCTTCATCAGGAGCAAGGTGTAAACCTTTGATTTTGTAAGCCTGTAAAATGTATTGATGATGACAACTCTTCGAGAGGATCACACGCTCAGAAGGTGTATGATTTGCTGAGCATCTGGGAAGGCAGGCTATGTGTAGGAACCTGTCATGTTCGGTGTTACTATTTTAAAAGTAGAAGCAGGAAGACAGATGAAAGGGGCCTTAAATTTTTATGTGGAAATTAGCCATGGCTATTAGCAGTGCCAAGGTCAGCAGTAAAGGCTGCAGAAGAAGTAAAGAGAAAAAAGAAAAAGAGGTAGGATAAGATCATAGACTCCTCAGGTTCAAAGAGACCTTGTTTAATCCGTTCACCTTCACAGGGGAAATATATGTGGGTTTTAATATTTACTATGTCTATCTGGTGATTCAGTGATGGAGATTTCCTTTGCCACCTTCTCTTCTGAAGTTATAGAACTGTGTACTTCTGTATAACTAAACAGAGTTTAGATTCAGGTGAGTGGCCATGTGGTTCTGAAGCAGCAGAACAAAGTTTGAGTCCAGTGGCACCTTTAAGACCAACACAATTTCATTCAAGGCATCAACTTTTGGAAAACCTATACATTGAATAAAAGTTTGTTGATCTTAAAGGTCCCACTGGACTCAAACTTTAAAAAGCCCTTGTGCTGCTTGTGTCCAAGCACCATTCAGTCCACAAACCAAAGAAACCTGCTGTTCTTATTGCCTGCCTGGGATGTCTAAAACAGGACAAACTGTCAAGTAGCTGGCTGATGATAATGCATGCTTAGTGAGCTGCATTTTGTCTTACCTTGAGGCACACTTGGCACTTAACTTTGCTGTCTTTTAGACCGTAGGCCAACATTTCTTTTCACCCAGGCTTTTAACTGAGGTGTTTCTAGTTGTTTCTATGGTCTGCTTCTAGTCTGAGGACTTTTTTATTAATATTAATGTTGAATGTTGCTTTATGCAGTTTTATACTATATTGATAATTCTTACACTTTTTATTAGTACTGTTATTTTTATTTGATGAGCCACCTTGTGCAAGTCTTTGGAGAGGTGGCATACAAATTTTCTAAATAAATATAATCATTGCTGTAAATTAAATCTATTTATACAAATTCAGTGGTAATTCATGGGCACAGGAGATGCACTGCACCCATAGAAGTGTGGACATAGCAGCTATACACATACAAATGGCAGTTCTTTGGGGCCACTGAGGCAGGTGTCCCATGAAAAAATGTTGTGCTCAAAGTGCACATGGAGTTCTGTACTGGGAATGTTGTCTTTTGTCCTGTTCTTCAGGGCAGCAGAGTACAATTTCTCTCCATAATTTTTAAGGAATACATTAAGAGATCTGAGGACTCTTACCAATTCTGAATTACTTTATTCTTGTCTCAGAGAAACTTACTTACGGTAGTACCCTTGTTCTATTCTCATATGATGTTTTCTTAACATGTATCATCTCTGTTTCACTTGAATCCTTTTTGGTTTGCTTGCTTTTTCAAAATGGGTCCCACTGTTGTAGATCCAACGGTGTCAGGTCAATAGTACTATCACTGTTTGTGTCTTTAAGACTATGCTTACATTAATCTTATCCAGAATAGCAAGCATTGTCTTTGACAGTGAATTTTGCTGAATCAGTTCTAGTTTCTCATCGTTTACAGGACCCAGAACCTTCAGAAGGGCTACTAATGTATATCTCTCAGTCTGAACCAGTGTATTTGATTTTCTTTCCTGGTTGCAATATTTTGAAATTTGACTTGGTTGAATTTCAGTTAATTATTTATATGAAGCTTGCTGCTTTATCAGGAAGAAAACAGAGGGCAGGGCCAATAGCCTAGTAGTAGAAGACATATGTCCCAAGTTCAGTCCTGGATGTTGCCATTAAAGTAGCTAAGGTATGGTGGAACTAGTAAAGACATCTGTCTAAGACAGGAGAACTGCTGCCAGGCAGAATAGCAATGACGAGATCGAAGGGCCAAAGTTCTGGCAGCATAAGTCAGCTTTATGTGTGCATAATACTTTGAATTCTGGTCCTGTACGTCAGCACTTTGCTGTCGGCAGTTGCAGACTGTTTATGATTCAAGCACAACATTGCAAATCCATTAAAACCTGAAACCACTTTCATATTTCTAAATAGGATCAGGGCTATTTTTGGGCAGGAACTCACAGGAACGGAGTTCCTGCTGGCTCCTGAGTTGGCCATGCCCAGCAGGGACTCATTAGCATAATAGGCCACACGCAACAGCAGAAACTCATTAGGATTGGCGACATTAGGGGTGTGTGGCCTAACATGCAAAGGAATTCCTGCTACAAAAAAAGCCCTGGGTTTTGACAACAAACAAGGCAAACAGAATAAGAAGCAAAAGGTGGGTGTGGCTGGATGACCACACTTCTGGTAACATGGGGGTGCGGCCTAAAGTGCTAATGAGCTGTGCTGCCAGGGGTGTAGCCTAATATGCTATTGAGTTTCTGCTGTTGGGTGTGGCCTATTATGCTAATGAGTTCCTGCTGGGTTTTTTCTACAAAAAGAGTCCTGAATAGGATTGTCAGAGGGGAAATCTCCAATAGCAGATTGACACAACATTCCTTGAATTCGAATTTCTGTGGGTTTTGGCAGCAAATTTGGTTACAAATGTAGTTAGACAATGGAAATTCTGGTTCAGTCAAACTTTTGTCTTTGATTTGGTGCCTGTTGGCAAGGTTTTTGAACCTGTAGTAATAGCTAAGTTGTGTTTTAAGGTCTGTATATATTCTTTATAACATATTGGTTATAAAATCTTGCTGTTGCCATTTTAAATAAATAAATATCTGCATTGGCTTTCAGGGCCTTCTCTGTTCCTGCTGCCTTTAAGGCTCCACACAAAAGCATTTTTATGCTCCTGAGCTTTTAGATTCACCGTCATTCCTTTTTGAGCTTTTGCCATTTGTTTCCCCTACCAAAAGTAATTTTATCTCAGTATTCCAGGTTTTAGCATGTATTACAGCATGCTGCCGTTTTATGGATTCAAGGTTTTATATTTTTATCCACCAACGAGTTGTTTTAATGGTATCACTCTTACTCTTTACTTTGTTATACTGCTCCTTTTTTACATTGAGGTTATTTTATTGGATTTCTGTACACCACCTCAAGAATATTTTATTAAGGGAGGGGTTATAAATACTTTAAGTAAATAAAATTTGTGTAAGCCATGATAAAAACAGATTCCTGAAATTTAATCCATAGGTACATGTAATGCAACAGTCAGGGAAATGTTCAAATAAGGGGTTTAATCTAGCAATATGCAAGCAGAAGAATAAATCTACTTAGCATAGTTGTGCTTGCAGAAGAGATTGGGGGAAAAGTACATTTCCCACTGACCCATTGAAGTCAGGCTTCAGCTGTTTGTACTTGGAACACATTTGGGGAATTTTCTTGTGGGTAGGTGTGTGCTCTTAAGTAGCAATTGACTTATGGTGACCGCTGTAAGGAGCCTTCAGGGCAAGCAAGAAGCAGACGTGGTTTGCCATTGCTTTCCTCTGCAGAGTCTTCCTTGGTGGTCTCCCATCCAAATACCAAACATGCTTAGCTTCCGAGATCTGACAGGGCTATATCATATCAACCCAACCTTATCATTATGTCCTTCATTCTCACCCTGCATGCTAGAGCTCTGTGAAGAGCTACTAATGAGCAGAGAAACTCCAGAGCTTAACTCAATGCCCTCAAGAAGTCTGATAATCTCCTTCCTCTCCCATATCATACCCCAGGGAGCAATTTTGAGAATCAAGAAGCTGCTAGGTTCACTTCCTGAAAACATGGGACTGACTACACAATATCTTGTACAAGTGGAAATGCAAGTGGGAATACAAAAATCTGACACTGCGAGTGTTTACTGCAGTCTTTTTCTGTAATGTCTGCTTGTAGAAGAGCCTCCAGTGCAGACATAACTTTTGCTCTGGATCCAGCCCTAGTACAGGTCCTTAATCTGGAGCATAGTTTTCTTCATGTTTAGTTAGGGCTTCCTCAGATAGGATGCCTTTTAAAAACATGTAGAGACAGATAAATAGGTAGAGACAGATAAACATGTAGAGACAGATAAATAGGTTGGATAAATAGGTTAGAGCAAATTTAATAACCCATAAAATAATACTATTAAATTATGGCCAAACACCACATGAAGGAAAAACCAGTGTTCAAAATCCAGTGCGGTGTGGTGGTTGAGTGTTCGATTAGACCTAGATATCACCAGGTTCAATTCCCCTGTGCCATTAGACTCACCAATATTCATCTGTCTAGAGATTCACTTGTATAATTTCAAAGCGAAAGTCAATATGTAAGATTCTCAGTTCTTTCAGGATGGGTAGCCATGTTAGTCTATCTGTAGCAGTAAAAAAGAGTAAGAGTCCAGTAGCACCTTAAAGACTAACAAAATTTAGTTCTTTCAGCACCATTTGCCTGGGTTCTTCTGAGTGAGTTATTTAAATGGTATCTGACAGGCTGATCTTCCCTCACTTCTTGTAAAACCAAAAGATGTTTTAATTTTTAGTTTTGTTTTCATGCTTGTGTGTGGAGAAAACAAGGTAAAATTCACAGGCTCTGTATCAGCACCAGACACTTAACAATAAAACAGTATGTAATATGGTGTTTAGTAATACTCAATACACAAACAAGAACTTGTATGGAACCACAAAGAAGACTGTTCCTTAATTTTTTTAGTCTTTTTCTTTCCTCTTGAAAATTAAAATAAGAAACACCTCTGAAATATTTGTCCATTTGTCCTGTTGCTTCTAGCTATCAAGAACAGAGATACAGGGAAATTCATTTTAAATGAGGACAACTATGTACCAGACTCCAAAGTGTTTGTTAATATGGGCATAGAATGGGAATATCGGAATGATGACGACAGAGAAATGGTTCAAACTATGGGTCCTTTGCGCAATGGAATTATTGTTCTGGTAAGTCGCTTGAAAATTAGGATGCCGAGCTTACATTAAGTCATACAAATTACTGTTACTGGTAGGCGGAGAATACTTAGCAACGTTCTACCATTGAATATAAGCTGAAGTTGGGCTTCCTGTCTTTAGTGGCACCCTGTTGCATTGCAGCCACTGTGGGTGGGGTTGGGATGCATCAAGGGGAAACCATCCATTCATGTCAGCAAGTCTCACCTATTTCCCCTCATCCCATCTGGGCACTTGCTGACCACCTGGCAGAGGTAGGGAGACTTGGCAAGCCACATCAGGCCAAGGAGAGGAAGCAGAAGTAAAAAGAAGTGAAAGTGCCACAGGCTGAGCTTATGATTTCAGTAAGGATTTGATAAGGTTCCACATAATATTCTTGTTGACAAGTTGGTAAAATGAAGTTTGGATCTTATTACCATTAGGTGGATCTGTAACTGGTTGACAGATCACACCCATCGAGTGCTTGTTAATTGTTCCTCATCCTCTTAGAGGAATGCCTCAGGGACCTGCCCTGGGACCTGTTTTGTTCAACGTATTTATAAATGATTTGGATGAAGGAATAGAGGGAATGTTTATTAAGTTTGCAGATAATACTAAATTGGGAGGGGTAGCAAATACAGTAGACGACAGAGTCAGGATACAGGATGAGCTTGACAGGCTGGAAAACTGAGCTAAAACAAATAAAATGAATTTCAATGGGGATAAATGTAAAGTTCTGCATTTAGGTAGGAAAAATCCAGTGCATAATTATAGGATGGGGAAGACTTGTATTGGCAGTAGTATGTACAAAAAGGATCTAGGGATCTTAGTAGATCATACACTGAACATGAGTCAGCAGTGTGATGCCGTAGTTAAAAAGGCAAATGCCATTTTGGGTCGTATCAACAGAAGTATAGTGTCCAGTATAGTGTAGGGTATGAGCTTTTGTGAGTCACTGCTCACTTCTTCAGATACAGCCAGAATGTGAGTCCATCTGTTTATGTTTTGGAAAGTGGAGTGATTTCAGATGCTCTGCTCTGGTTAGACCTCACCTAAAGTATTGTGTTCAGTTTTGGGCACCACAATTTAAGAAGGGTATAGACAAGCTGGAACATGTCCAGAGGAGGGCAACAAAGATGGTGAGGGGTCTGGAGATGAAGTCCTAGGAGAAAAGGTTGAAGGAGCTGGGTATGTTTAGACTGAGAGGTGAAATGATAACGATCTTCAAGTACTTGAAGGGCTGTCATATAGATGATGGTGCTGTTTTCTGTTGCCCCAGAAGGTCAGACCAGAACCAATGGGTTGCAATTAAATCAAAAGGGTTTTCAGCTAAACATTCAGAAGAACTTCCTGACAGTTAAAGCAGTTCCTCAGTACAACAGGCTTCCTCAGTGGAACAGGCTCTCCTTCTTTGGAGTTTTTTAATCAGAGGCTAGATGGCCATCTGACAGCAATGCTGATTCTGTGAACTTAGGCAGATCACCAGAAGGGAGGGCAGAAAGGTTGCATCAGTGCTTAGTTCTTGTGGCCCTTTCTTACATGCCCAGGGAAATACTGATCGCCACTGTGGGGTCAGGAAGCAATTTTTCTCCAGGCCAGTTTGACCAGGGATCCTGGAGGGTTTGGGTTTTTTTGCCATCTTCTGGGCATGGAACAGGTGTCACTGGGGGGTATTGAGGGGGAGGTATTTGTGAATTTCCTGCATTGTGTAGGGGGGTTGGACTAAATGACCCTGGAGGTTCCTTTCAGTTCTATGATTCTGTGTGTGTTGTGGCTATTCTGTCACTGTATGTCTTGTCTCTCTTCTAATTTTCAAGGCTTAGGATGATCACCATTTCAGGGGAATCAACATTTTAATTAGGGTTGAATAGTTTTGAAAATTTAAGCCTTGCTTATCATGATTTTATTCTTTTTTTAAAATGCCTCTGTGAAATTCAAAAAGATCCTGGTTGCTCAGAATATATATCTTATTTGTCTGACAAGGTAATCCCTCATGGAAATGTCAAGATTTCACTGACATACAAATACATGATCCATGAAGACTCTTTAAATGTTGATAACAACAATGTTTTGGAAGATTCAGTAACGTATGAGTGGGCCTTGAAAAAATGGTCGCAGTGTTCAAAACCATGTGGAGGAGGTAAAGAATGAATGCTAAACTGATTAATAGATACACCTTTCTGTGAGTTGCAAATCCATATGATTAATTGTGTAATTCAGATCTGGTTGACACATTCTTGTATATCACATGATTTTTCATCTCTTAATTGCCCATCATTTGATGACTAACAGCTGAATGTGTGAAAGGACTTTCCTGAGAATACCATGCCTGAGCTGATATGACTGTTTTATCTGTGGCATTATATCTGTAAATACTCATTCACCCATTTGATGCTGCATGTACAAGATATATATAGTATGAAACTGGAGAGCTAGAAACAGTTCAAGTTACATTCAGAAACAGAGATAAGTGAATAGTAATGAACTTCTATAGTGTTAAAAAAACCAGCAGAAAATATAAAGTGTACCTAATAGAGAACCAAACCATCTGCTTCAGGGAAATGTGTATATATAGAGCACATCCTGTTTGCTCGTTTCTTGGGTTCCAGTAGTCTACCTAGTGTGAAATTTTGTCTGTCTCATGAACTGTCTACTGTCTTGTCTGCTCCTTTCCCACCATTCCCACATGGCAGGTGATAAGTATATTGGAAGTTCCCATGTTTATTTCTCTGGCCCAGGCTCAAAAGGTTTGCTTGTGGGGAGTATAGTGGGATACCATCAGTCTTGTAAACCAACTGGAATTACATGGAAGTTATGATTTCATGAAATGATGGCTGCATGTGGGATGTGGAATACAACAGTCAATATTTGTACCGCAGTGAAGCTTGAGTAAAAATCACCACAATCCTGCAAACTGTGGAAATCACATACCTCCTCCAGTCCCATACAACTGGTACTGCCATAAGATCCTAGATAAATCGTGAGTCCACTGGCACTTCCACAGAATCCCATAAGTGAGCATCATTTTCCTTGACCTCACAAAATAGAACCCACTGAGTTTGACTGGGGGTGTGCTCCAAAGCATTTTGAGCCATAGAAGTAAATGTGGGTCTTTGTGGAAGGGTTTTAGAAGCTGAAGATAAAAGAAGTCTCTTTCTTAAGGTCATCAGTTTACAAAGTATGGTTGTCGGAGGAAGAATGACCACAAAATGGTTCACCGTAGTTATTGTGAGTCCATCCAGAAGCCAAAGCCCATCCGTAGAGTATGCAATCTCCAAGAATGTTCACAGCCAATGTAAGCATTTCTCTTTGCTGGAATAAATCATCATAATAAATGGAAACAGAAGTGCCTGCAGCTAGCCTCAGATAACCTTCTACACTCCACCCTTTGTGTGGTTGCTTTTGGTTATTTGCTTGTTTAAAATCTGTATGTACTTGCCTTTTTCTTAGGCGTCCCAGGACAAAAGGGATGCCTGGTTCATAAACAGTATTCTTGTGTGGTCTTTGGATATCATGATAGAACACAGAGGAATGTAATAGCTGAGCCATTTGGAGAGAAATTCTAAGTAGATCTGCTCAACATCCACTAAGGCCTATTCAATGGGGCTTACTCCCAGGAAAGTATTCTTTGGATTACACTGTTAGTCTTTAAAGGTTGAAAGAATGTCTTTGAATTGTGCCTGGAAGGGAAGTCAGAGCAGCCTCTGGAGTACTTCTATTATGTGATCTGTGTAACCACTACCAATCAACAGGTAAGGTGTCATGTTATACACCAAAGGAAATTTCCAGTTAATCATCAAGGGCAGACTCCTTTAGAGTGCATAATTTTTAAAAATGCTTTTAAGTTTACAAAAGAATTAAAGTTGCATTTTGGTGGGAGATCTACAGAGAGCTTCCTCAAACATTGGAGTTTAAAAACTAGCACAATCTGGAATTCTAGAAGTGAATGTAGAAGCACTTTAAACTTGCAAACCACTGCAGAGTGGAAGTCAGGGAGATCTGAAGCTGCCACCAGTCCATGTTTCTTTCTTTTTGACTAACACCATGTATGATAAAATATAATTCCCTGTTCCCTACCTCACATAATTGGCTATTGGAAGCAGGATCAGGGAAGCACACTCATTATACTAGGTGTTACCAGGACGAGAAGAAAGAGTGACTCAGAGTGGTGGCAGCTACAAGTATCTTGTTTTAGCACTTACCCTTGAGAGACCAGGAGGTATTTAACCTTGAGAGACCAAGGAGGAATTTAAGCATTGCGTTATGTCTCTTTTTGTTTGAGCCACAAGCTTTATATGCTACTTGGAATATTCTGTCAGTAATAGGGTTTCCAGGTCCCTCAGACGTGCCAGCAGGGGATGAGCAGGGGTGAACTTATTGGGAGTGGGGAGAAACACCGAAAATAAACATGATGTACCTGTGTGACTTGGAAGTGATGGGCAAAACTCTATGGTAGAATTAGCTTCTACCATACAGATTTTTGGCCCAAACTAGAGCATCGCCTCTGGACATCCCCGATGTGCCTATATCACTTCCGGGTCTTGTAGGTACATTGCATTTAATTTCTGTGTTCTTCTCTGTTGGTGAGGTAATTCTCCCCTGCCAGCCAGCTGGCCAGTGGGGGAGAGGTGGGGCCCAAAAACAGGGGACCCCCATCCCTGCTGGGGGAGGGGTCTGGCATCCCTAGTCAGTGATGTATTCTTATAAATTTCCTGGCCCATATTGGGCACAAGAAACTTGACATTAGAGTAACATATACAGAGCTTCCACTATTTCCTTTGCCAGATTTCACTGTCTGATTCAGAGTTTTGTAATCTTTGGGTTAGATACAACAGAAAATTGCTACAGAAGAGGGGGTGATTTTTGCCTATTTTCCGCCTCCCATTGCAAATCACCAACTACTCCTCATGCTGTTCCTGGGATTCCTGTGTCTCCCAGGAGCAGCACTGGGGGAAACATAAGCTGCAGGGGGAAGGTAGAGCTGAGGAAGTTCCATGGGAACCAAGACTTTGAGCTTTGCTATCTTCATTCCCAACTAGTTGTCAACTCTGGATTTGGGGGTGGACCATGGTGATTGCAGAGTTTGGAGAGGGACTTCAGCAGGGTATAATGCCATGGTGATTGCAGAGTTTGGAGAGGGAAGGGACTTCAGCAGCGCATAATGCCAGAAGTGATGTACTGGTGCAGAGGCCTGCAGCAGTATTTTTTTTTTAATTCTCCAGGCAACAGCGGGCAACTGTGGCAGGACGTGGGAGGCCTCCTATCATTGTTGGGGGGGCTGGAACCCTGTTTCCAGGGGAACTGATCTCTGTCATGTGGAGATCAGTTGTAATTCTGGTAGAACTCCAGGCCCCACCTGGAGGTTGGCAGCCCTTGTCCCAACACACAGCCACCAGTCTCTATCTCAGCAGCGGAGCTATTCATGAATCTTCTCTTAACCCTTACGAGAGTTGTGATCTTACACCCTGTGAGAATTTAAACTTCTTGTTGCTTTTTGTTATCTGCTGACTGTAGGAAAATGTAAGAAACACAGAAGCTAATCTTCCGTTTGTTAATATATGACAGTCAGGATTTAGAAAGGCTTTAGTGCTGTTCCTGAAAGAAACAAATATATTGCTCTAAAGGCTTCATAATGGCAAGACAAACGTCTTGGCTGTGGCTATTGTTCCTTTCCACACAGTTCTTAGCTGATGACTGCACTGTTGTTAAATCTGAAGCAGCAAATTAATCTCTATGAATGATGCTGCAACTAAGCTAGCATCTGCTAACAACCCTTGTTTTAGTTGTTTATCTCTCTGTTGGCTTCCGCATGTACTTAAAGTATTCTATGTGGCTTTGAAAATTGGTCCATAACTGCAGTGGCCAGGCTGTTAGGAACGATCTGTTTCCAGGCACAATTCAAAGTGCTGGTTCCGTCCTTTAAGGCCTAGATGGCTTGGGGCAAGAGTAGGGTTGCCAGGTCTTACCTTCATCCCAGCGGGGGGCTCCAGCCAGACATCATTGCGCTGGGCACATTGTTTGGGGGACACTCTAGTATTTAGGTAAAAACTCTATGGTCACCCTAGGCAAGAATACCCAAAGGACTGTCTCTTCCCACACTACCCAGCCTTCCAGTTAAGATCTGCCTCTCACCCCCTGTTCTCTGTACCCCAATCTTCAGAGATGAGGTGTGTAGTGACTAGAGATGAGGCATTTTCTGTTGTGTCACCCTGCCTCTGGATGCCTTCCCCCTCGAGTCTTGCCTGGCACTTACTTTACTGTCTTTTAGGCATCAGCCCAAAATACATCTCCCCCCACCACACACACACACAGTTTTAATTAGGAGTTTTAATCTTACCAGCTTTTGAAAATGACCTGCTTCTGTTTTATGGATAGTTTTTATGCTGCTTATGTCTAATGGCTTGTTTTTAATTGTAAACTGCCTAAATAAAATATCAGACTACCTAAGTGAAAGATATGTGTTCCATATCAATTATGAAACACACAAACGTAAACCCTTTCAGAAGTGGGGGGCCAGGTCTTCTATGGCCTGCTTCTGCATGACAGAGATTCTCCATACCGCTTCATCACTACTGCAGATGCAGAGGCATGTGCATTGTGTCTTCTACGTTGGGAGTCTTCTGCACATTTTCCCCTGTCAGTCTGTTGTGGCCACCACTTTTCCGACATATTTCCCTCATGAACCACTAGAGGAAGTTTTTAAAAATCAGTAATTGTTATAGTCATTACTGGGTTTTTTGGTTTTTTTAAAGAAAGCCCATGGTAGCTGCAAGGGGCTGATATCAGGAAAATGGTGCTGATGTGAGAAAGAGCTTCTCAGCGCACGAAAATGTGCATACTTCCAAATAGTGAAATAATAGACTTGTACTGCACTCTT